CTCTAGAAAAACATTTCCTACACTAAATCCTTCTCACCAGTCTGGCTTCCATCTTCATGTCTCTACTGGAATTGCTCTCTAGCGTTCCCAATGATCTCTTTATTGCCAAATGCAGTGGCCTTTTCTCCATCCTCTTCCTTGACCCCTCTGCAACCTTGGACACTGCTGGTCATTCCCTTCTCCCTGATCCTCTCTTCTCTCTTGGTTTTCAGGACACTGTCCTGGTCCTCCTCCTCCCTGTTGGACCACTCACTTCTCAGGCTCCTTTGCTAGACCTTCATCGAGGTTGCACCTGCTAACCAAGGGTGCCCCTCAGAGGTCTGTGCTGACCCCTCTTCTTCCTCTGTGCAGTCTTGTTTGGTGATCTCATTAGCTCCCATAGATTTAATCATCATCTCTGTGACACAGAAGGCGCCACCACGTCACCCTGCGCTCCACGAGAATAAAGATTGTCTTACCATCTCCTGAGTATGCACATAGTAAGCACTTAATGAATGCTTTGCAGAAAGTAAGGGTGTTTTTCCTTCATTCCTTCTATGCTAAGGATCTACTTATCCAGTCCTGATCGCTAATCTCAGATCCCCAGCCACCTACTGGTCAGCCCAAACTAGATTCAGAAAGCGTCTTACACTCACTATGTCCAAAACTGAGCTCATTATCTTTTCCCCAAAGCAATTGCTTTTTCCAAACTCCTCTGTTACTGTGGACAGCACCACCATCCCCCAAACCTGCGCGTCATTCTTGGCTTTTCACTCTCATCCCCCCATCCAACCTGCTGTCAAGGCCAATTGGTTTTACTTTCTTAACATCTCTCAAAAAAGTCTCCTTTCCTCTGACACTGCCCCCACCCTGGGGCAGACCTTCATCCCCTCAGACCTGGATTACTGCAATAGCTGCTGGGGGCAAGGGGGGGCAGGGCGGGCTGGGACGGGACAGGGTCTGCCTACCTGCAGCCTCTCCCCACTCCAGGCCGTCCTCCATTCAACCACCAAAGTGATTTTCCTAAAGCATAGGTATAACCATGTCACCTCTTACTCAGTTAACTCCAGTGGCTCCCTGTGGCCTCCAGGAGCAAAAGCAAAATGTTCTGCCTTGTCCTTTCCTACCCTTCTAGTCTTTTTACACCTTATTTTGCCACTCAGCGACACTGGCTTCCTTGCTGTCCCCTCACCCCCAACACTCCATCTCCAGGGACTATATTTTCTCTGGCTGTCTCCCAGGCCTAGAGCGCTTTCTCTCCTCATTTCTGAGTCTTGGCTTCTCCGACCTCCTTCTACAGGAAGCCTTTCCTGATCCCCCTTGATGCCAGCACCTACCCTCTGTTGACTGTCTCTGATTGGCCACGTCTAGAGCTTGTGTGTACAGAGCTCTTTGCACATTGTCTCCCCCACTAGACTGTGAGCTTCTTAAGGGCAGGAACTGGCTTTTGGCCTCTCTTTGTATCCTCAGCACTTTAGAGTACCTGGCACAAAGCAGGTGCTTAATAAATGGTAACTGACTGACCTACTCTTCACCACGCCATGCCGGGAAGGCCCAGGACAGTGGGTGGATATCCAGTGGAGAACTAATGGGGAGTCGGAGAAACCACAGGAGAGGACGTGGCTGGGTTCTAGTCTGCTCTGGGGGAAGGGGGTCACCACATTGACGAGATCTCAGGGCTAGCCAAACCCTGAGGGTCAAGGGCCTTTTACGCTGCTAAGACCTCTGGATTCACCCCCACACAAATCAAGTTTTATTCCTGGTCTTAGACATGCAGTCTCAGGTCAGGAGATCTAATTATGTTACTTAAAATTACAGAAAAAAAATGTAATTGAATTTTCCTACGGACAGGACAGTGATACATGGGTTTTGGCACAATCCCCGTAGAAACAAACCCCGACCAGGCTGAGAATTTGCCTAATGAAAATGAGCTTTTGAAAGGGCACAGAAAGGAAATCATGAGCACGATGCTAAGAAGAAACCAGCATTCCTTGGAGTTGGCTATGGCTCATTCCTGCCTCACCATTAAGGGTATGGCTTATTCAGGGGGTTAAAAAAAGGGGGACCCCCCAGCCTGAAATGGGGCACACAGGTAACTTGGACCTTACAAAGAGAAGTTCCCCAGGCCCTTCCTTCCAAAGGAAAAGAAGGATGCCTCTTCATGGTTTCAGTCTTTTCTACTTTGGGCCACACTACTGGGTGCCCAAGATGCTCAGTATTTCTTTGGAGGCAATCTCCATTTCAGGAGTCTTTCAATGTATTGGAATCATGGTCTAGACCAAAAAAGACATGAATACCAGAGGCAGTGTGGTCCAATGAATGGAGCCCAGGGTGTGGAGCCAGGAGAATCACAACCTCAAATCTTGCCTCTGAGACTTGCTGCTGGGGTGATTTGGGGTAAGCATAATTATTATTGGTGATTGTGTGGTTGTGTGGTTTGTCCTTCGTTCTCAAAGAGGACCATGACATCGGGGAGACGATGCCGTGACATACGAGTGAATTGGATATAAGTAAGGGAGGGCTGTGCAGAGTCGCCAGCCTCACTTTCTCCTCCAGAGCTGTCAGGGTCCAGTGGCCAGATATAGATCAGGATGACTGGAGATGGCCTCCATTGGTAATTAGGCACAAACGGTAAACTTCACATAATGATGACTATTATTAGGAAGATTTTTACACCCCCCCCAAACAGACTTAACCTTTTTTTAAAAAAAAGGTTTTCTTTCTTTATTGAAAAATGATTTTTTCCAGAGTTTACAAATTGGATACTTCAAATAAAACCAAATCTCTATAAAACCAAAGCCACAAAAAATCTTGTCAGAAAAGCCCCTCCTTTGTAGAAAGAGAAAAAGTTAAATAAACAAAAAAAAATTAAAGTTAAATAAAAAATAAAATTTTTAAAAAAAGTTAAAAAAGAAAAGAGAGTCTAGGCCACACATAAACATATAAAACTTAAGAAATGAATTTTGATCAGTGAAAAGCTTAGGCTTTCAAGAACTGACCATTCAAATAGATTTCTCCCCCAACGATAAAGCATGCACAACGGCATTGGCTCCTGCCATTCAGTCAGTATGTAGTACAGTAAAAGTGTCAACATTTAGGCTGGATTAATATCTACTCATGGAAGCGCTATTGGCTTCTGGGCAGCCAGTGCTCTGGGTCTAAGAGGCGGCAACCACCCTGCCTCCTTTCTAAGAAGTTCCCTTCTTGGCATGATGAGCCAATCTGAAAATGGACCTCCTTCTCCCTTGCGATTGTAGAGACCTCAGCAGGTGCAGAAGTCTTCATCTCTAGCAGCCTACCTTTGATCTGCCCTGCTAAGCTATCCCACAGCTTGAGTCAGTGGGTACACATGGCTTCCCAGAGGCTCCTGGTCTTGCCCATGAACTCCAGGTTGAGGCATCTATAAAGGCAGTAGCAGTAGATACGGGCCATATTTGCATAGAGCACATCTCATGGTATAGAAGTAGCTACAGCTTGTGGGAACTCCCACAAGCTTAGATGGACCACAAAAGGCCAGAGCGTTACCCAGTGCAGCCTAGGTGTAGCCCAGGTTGGTGACCTGAACTTAGTCTTCTTTGGAAGCCTTGGAAGAAACATACTGATGGGGGCTCATGAGCTATCATTTTGAATGGCTTCTCCTTCTTCCCCTTCCTCCTCTCCTCCTCCTCCTTCCCCTTCCTCCTCTTCTCTTTCTCCTCCTTCTTCTTTTTGCTTTAAATAGTATTTTATTTTTTCCCACAAGAAAATTTTTAGCATACATTTTTACAAGATTTTGAGTTCCAAATTTTTCTCCCTCCCTCCCTCCCTTCCCCTCTTCTGAAAATGGTAGACAGTTTGATATAATTTATATATATATAGCACATACTGCTTTGGACACCTCCTGAAGAGGGGAAAGGCAGATAAGGCCAAACCTGTGGCTTTGCCCATCCTCCTGAATCCCCAGTGTGCACAGTGCCTGGCACACAGTTAAGTGCTTAATAAATGCCAGTTAATGATGACCAGCAGGGAAACAAACCTGGGTATGAGAGGTGAGAAGCCTACCACTGAATCACCAAAGGCTTCCCTCTTCTGGACGCTAGAACATTTGTCCTCCAAAGAAAGGTGTCGCCTCTCCCCTTTTCCATGATCTTTGGTACATGGCTGGCATCAGCGCAGCACCTGAAGGTAGAGTTATTTGGCAGCTCCTAACTTAAACTGATCAATGACCACTAAGCACCCTCTTCCTTGGGGATCCCTGTCTGCTCTCTTTCTTCTGATAGTTCCAGTGCAAAAGCCATTCTCCTTGGCAGAGTAAACAAGCAAGGTATGAATTGAGATCTCTGCCTACTCCGACAGTTACCATTTTCTCATCTGCTCCAAGCAAAGGTCTGTCCTTTCCTTCCTTTCCTCCAGTAGAGCTAAAAATACCCTTTTAGTGGGGTTACTTACACTTCTTAACTCACAGTTGTTTTGTGAAAAATGCCGAAGAAACAGGACTTATTTTTGTTATTTCTCCCAAAAAAGCTAATTTGATGGAGCTGAGTAGCCCAGTGGAATCAAATGCTGGGCTTGGAGCCAGGGAGGCCAGAGCTCGAATTCTGCCTCAGAGAGTTACCAGTTGTGTTATATCGGGCAAGTCACGTAAACTCGAGCCTGTTTCCTCATTTGTAAAATGGGGATAATAACAGCACCTACCTCTGAGGGTTGTCATAAGGATCCGGTGATAAATGTAAAGTGATTTGCAAACCATAAAGCACTAATGCTATTATCTTTGAACACTTTGGAGCCGGGAGCCGCTGGGGGTCCTCGATACTAGACTAGGGATAGAGTCTACTCTGGGGATGAGGGGCTCGGGAAGTTTTGGAGTACATTAAGCAAAATTAAGTTTATTTTCATGCCAAAAGAGTGATGTATGCAAATAAAACTTCTATGATTTTCATTTTAGTTCTGATTTGCTCATCTCATATTTACTGTTTCTAAGAGCAGCAAATTGCCAGCATTTCCGTTTTTGCACAGACCAGACACCCCCCACCCAGCCCCATCCCTCCGCCATTTGCTGAATGTAGAACACCAGAGGTTCCTCCTCAGGAGCATCTTTTGGAAAATCTTGCTTTACGCAACAGGATCACAGACTTACAGCTGGGAGAGGATTTCTAGGCCTGGGCACGTCCGAAGGCAGCTGGAAAAGAACCAGGGGAAAGGGAGAGTTGGAAGATCTGACAGCGGGAACAAGGAACTGAGAGAAAGCAGGGCAAAAACAAAGCATTCCCTAAGAGCAGTCTCATCCCCTCCGATGGCCCTAAGCACTTCGTCTGGACCTCTCCCTTCTTCCCTGCCCCTCCCTCCATCCTAGTACACTCACCTGGGTCCACACGGGGAGGTAGCAGGTACTGGTCATAGTGCTGGCCCCAAAGTTGAGAGAACCGAGTTTGAATCCTGTCTCAGACTTAGAAACTGTGACCCTAGGCCACTCCTGAAACTTCTGCACCTGTTTCCTCATCTGTAAAATGGGGTTGCTTCATCTCCTACCTACTTCCTTCACACTCACTTTGGGAGTCTGTGGGTCACTGACGTTTGTTGAGGTCTGTCCTCGGGTCAGGCAGCTGACCTAAGTTACCAGCCTCGATTCACCAGGCCCTTGACAGACGCTTGATGAACCAACTGTCTCCCGAGTCTGGGAAGCTTGGAGATGGGGACATGGGTGGGAAGAGGCCTAGAGGAATGTGGACCTTTGAGGGAGGGGTGGGATCTGGAGAACAGGGCTCCAGCTTTGACTGCGCCATTAGCGAGGGCTCCCTCCCCTGCTGGGGGTGCCCAGAGACCCATTTGGCCCCAGTGCTGTTCACCACTGCTTGGCTGTTATCCCTTCCGGGCAAAAGGGGCGGGTCACTTGGCCTTACACTGTCCTGTCTCTACGCCTTAGACCCCCAGGTACTAACTGACCGGGGGCCCCGCCGTCTGCCTGTGTGCCATGGGCCTTTGCATCCCACCAGCGAGCCTTCTCCGTGCTGCCCTCCACTGGGGGTGAGGTCCTCCAGAACGAGGAGTCTCACCTTTTCTATTTGTGTCCCCCCCCATGCTTGGCACACAGCGAGCACCCACTAGGTGCCTTTCCATTCGTTCCTCTGGCTGAGACCTTTGTTGGGACCTGTCCTCAAAAAGCCTGGGGGGGGTCTCCTGAAGGGAAGCCCCTTCCCCAAGGTCACACCATGACCATGACCCTGGAAGGGTCAGGACTAGAACTCAGGCCAGGACTAGAACTCAGGTCTTCTGACTTCCCCTCCAGGAATCTGGCCCCCCAACAAGGCCACCTCTAATCAATGTTTCTGCAGAGGACAAGGTACCACCCCAAAGGTGGAAATGATCAAATTAGGTTTTTAAGAGAATCAGTCTACCCAGCCCTTGCACCATGATTTTCTTTCTTTCTTTTTCTTTTGGCTAGGCAATCAGGGTTTGCCCAGGGTCACACAGCTAGTGGGTGTCAAAGTGTCTGAGGTCCCGTTTGAACTCAGGTCCTCCTGACTCCAGGGCTGGTGCTCTATCCACTGTACCACCTAGGTGCCCCCACCCCCAGTTTTCTTTCTCACAGTGAGAACTTTACCTTTCCAGGACTCACTGACCTCCAAAGCCCCTGCCTCCGCTCAGTCTATGAGCCCATGCTATTCTGAGTGCCCAAGGGTGCCTGCCGCTCTGGGTTTGGGCCAGGAAGCTCCTGGAGAGCCCCGCGGCCAGCCAGGTTAGCCAGGGCGCCCGCGGTCCTAGGGCCGACCACAGGCACCAAAGAAGCATTCTTCGGCTAGCCCCTCTCCTGAGCGGGTCTACGTTTAGAAGGTCAGTGTTGTAAGCGGCCCGAGCAGCTGAGCTGACGTGGAACCAGAAGGGGCTGAGATGACGCCTCCTGCTCTCTCCCCAAAATGAAATCATGCCATTCAAAATCAGCTTCTCTGAGGCACTCCCCACCTTCCCAGGCGTCTGAAATGCGTTGAAATGAAAATCACCCTCAGTTCAGGGAGATGACGACTCACTTCTGCAGCCAGGCTTTCCTTCACAGCGGCCCCCAGAAGCAGGTAGTGGAGGTGTCACTCTATAGGCAAGGGGGAGGGATTTGTTTAAGATCAAACAGGTGCTAAGAACCAAGGCAGGGACTCCAACCCAGGCCTCCCACTTCTAAAATCCGCCCCCCCAGTGAATGAACTCAGTGCTCTGGGTGATGGGCGAGGAGGCAGTCCTGGAAGACTCTGGGCCTCTAGCCCCATCCCATCAGCCCTCTGGTGGGGACCAAGGGAGAAAAAGCCTTGAGTTGGGCCTGAGGGACCCCTTCAGTGCCTGGGAGGGGGATGGAGTACCTGGAGAGCAGACTGGACCAGCAGAGTCCACTGACCTGCTGGGGCCTGGGCCTAGGCTCTCATTGATCCGACTTCGGTTCTTCTCTTTGGAGTACAGAACACTCCTCAGCCAGCCTGGCTGGGGACAGGCCCCAGCTTCCAGCCCTGGGAAGAGCCTTCTGGCCCCTTACAAACAACAGTCCAAAGACCTGGGGCGTTTCTGGGGTTTGGAGAAGCTTCTGGGGCCAGCTCCCAGGAAGGCGGCCCCTGGGAGCGGGAAGGGTCCAGATCCTGCTCTGTGGCCGGAGATCTGACCCGCCGGCCTAAATCCCCTCGGCTCACATCTGGCTGGCACCAGTCTCCTGGGGGACCTCGAATAAATCCCTTCCCTTTTCTGTCCCTCTCAGCTGCCTTCTGGTGTAACGAAGGTGTCAGACATACGCTCACTTAGGTTCGTCTGGCTCCCACCCCAACATTCGGAATTCCCCTCAAGTGGCAGTCCATGCCATCGGTGTGTGTGCGTGTGTGTGCATGTGTGCGCGTGTGTGTGTGCGTGCGTGCGTGCGTACATGACGAGGCCCCCGGTGAGATGGAGCAAAGCCCACCCGCCTCCAGGCCAGAGAACGGCCTGGGTGCCGGCCTCCACAGCCCCCGGCGGCCCTGCCACTGCGGGTGGAAGCTCTCCCTTCTTCCCAGTCACTGGAAGCAGGCCCTCGGGGGGCCAGGAAAAGCCTGGCAGGAGGCCTGGCTGAATTTCGTATCCAATGCTGTGTTCATTTATTTCATACTTACAAAAAGAATTGCCCACCCCTTGTCCCTTCCCAGAAAAACGGTCTCTTTTACAAACATTTAAAAATTAAAAACCAAATGAGGACAGGTTAATTTTGGTACAATTACTGAGCAATGCAGTTGTCATAATTAGAGTTGCAATGTCCTCCGGGTGACAAGTGTCCACGTGCCCCGTAGGGAAATCCTGATTAGTGGCCAAGGAAAGTCCTCTTTCACAAGTGAGCAGATTCTCACGAGAGCCCACCCGTGGGGGAGCGTGGCCTTCCTCTGGGCAAGGAGTCTCTGTGCTGCACGCGCCTTCTGTCTCCACACGGCAGCGCTCCAAGCCTGCCGAGCTCGTGGAGCTCCGGGGCTGCCCACGGCCGCTGGCGGTGTGCTTATCGCCAGGCAGGCAGATGGCCGGCTCCCTCCGCCTCCCCAGCCGCGGCAAGTTCCCTGGAGCACGTGGGGAGGCCTCCTGGCCCCATGGAGCTGCAGCTCTGGAGAGGGAGGTCCTTCTAGGAAGGAGGGCCGGGCCTGACCGCGTCTGGATGTCACACACCTGCCGTGGTCTCCTTTGACAAAAACACGCCCCGGGTGCTGGAGGCCCTCCCGCTGGCTCCCTTCAGGAGGGCAGGGCGGCCGTCTGTCCGCCAGGCAAGACATGGCTTGTGTCTGTGGTTAGTGCCAGAAGCGGTGTTCCTCCGAGAGCGGGCCCCTCCGGAAAGCCGGAGGCTGCTATTTGTCTCTCAGGATGTCCAGCTGCTCCTGGAACTCTGTGAAAAGTCGCTGGAAACGCAGGTTCTGCCCGATGACTGGAAGCAGCTCTTTCAGGAGCTCTCGCTTTCGTAAGCCCTGCACACAGAGATGAGAGGGCAGAGTTGGGGTGGGGGTGAGCTCTGCCCATCCTTGGGCCTCGTGTGTGTGTGTGTGTGTGTGGTACGTGTGCCAGGACCCAGCCTCCCTCTCCTCCGCCCTCGGCCCAGGCAGAACAAGGCCAATCCCTTTTCCAGGTGACACGTCCTGAGATGGCACAATCTGACCCCTCCAGCGGCAGCAGCAGACCGTGAGCTCCTTGAGAGCAGGCCCTGGTCCACTGTGGTCACTGTATTTCCTGTGCCAACCCAATGCCTGCACATAGAGGCACCTAATCAATGCTGTGGACGTGGCCCCAGGACTGAACGCGATACTCCAAAGATGGCCTGGTCAAAGTGCACGGCCTGTTGCCTCCCTATGACTGCACACAGTCTACACCAGATTCATTCGTTCTCTTGGAACCTGTACACTATTCGTGCTGACTCCTAGAGCCTACGGTCCACTAGGACTCCCAAATCCCCCCCCCCCCCCCCCGATAAACTGTTGCACAGCCGTACCTCCCCACTTCTATTTGTGATTCACCTTGTTAGATTAACTACAACATTCTGGCTCACTGGGATTTCTGAATCCTGGCAGCCAATGCTCTCAATAGCTGCAGTCTCCCATCACTTAAAGATGCACATTTATACAGCCACCCACATCACTGCGGAAGATGTCCCTTCTCAGCGCCCCGCTGGGGATTCTCCTGGGCCCAGGAGGCGCTGGGAAGACGACGCCTAGCGTTCCCTTCTGCTGACTTAAGGCTTTTGTGCAATCACAGTGCAGTCTAGAACCCACAACAGGCGCAGGGCTGACGGCTCGCCAGCCCGAGGGCGTTCTAAGGCATCTCCTTCAGACCCCAGCGGCCCTGGGGGAGGGGTCCAAATTCAACCAGGAACCAGGAACAGCTGGGATGTCTGATACGTGGGCTGAATCTCTCTGGCAGCGCCCAGGAAAGCCCTGCTTAATGAATCCCTCTCTGCAGGTCAATTTACGTGTCTGTCTGTCCATGACTGTGTCTGTGTGTCTGTCTACCTGCTCCCTCTATTGGTCACAGCTAGGTGGTGCCACAGATAGAATACTAGACTTGGAATCAGTTAAGAACTGAGTTCCAATCCTGTCTCAGGTTCTTACTAGCCGTGTGACCCTGGACCAAATCAGTTAACCTCTCTCAGCCTTAGTTTCCCCAGGGCCAGCCCTTCCCAAGCCCTCAGCAGGAGGCAGCCCAGGGCCCAGAGAACCCATTCCCTCGCCTCCCTTGTACTCTACTGGTGATGGCAGCGTCAAGGCAGTCCTCTGGGGACCACGGTCTGGGGAGTCCCCTCGGGAGGGGTGACAATTCCCAAGTCCTCTGCCCACCACTGGCTAGCCTCCTGCCATTTTCCCTTCCTAAATAAATGGTTTTAACAGAATCAGAAAGTCTTCTTTCTGACTCAGCCACCTCTCATTCTCCAGCAGGGAAGTAACAGGACTTCTGAAGGCCGGGCTCTTTGAACTGTGCCTTCTCATGTGAGAGGGTAGCCCTGGGGGGCCTCCTCCTCCCCCCTGCCCTCCAGCCTCCCTTCCTCCCATTCCGTGTCCTGACCGCTGTGCCCAGGAGGAGGGGCCTCTGGGGGAGGCCCCAGTAGCACACCATTTTCCAAAGGTTCCCCTCGTTTTGGGCAGCACTGACTATCCTGGCAAAAAGGAACGCGAGGCCTTACCACCACTGTGGATTCCCACTGACTTCCAGTAGAGTAATGGACTGGCCCCAGCAAATCCTTGCATAATTCTCGAAGCCGATATTCAAACCCTGAGTGTGAAAGGAGGACACACGGAAGTGTGGGGCTTAGGCCCAGAAATAACTGACTGCCCCTCCCCGCCTCCCAGCTGGGCCTAGGGGGCCAAGGTCCTGGTGGCTCCAGGCCTTTCCCCAAACACTGCAGATAGGAAAGGGAAGCTGAAAATAACCCAGCCCCAGCCCCAGTCAGGGCTGCTGCTTTCTTAGCAAAGCATGCATGGCCTGGGGCGGGGGGGGGGGCCCCCCCCGCGGTCCTCTGGGGATTCTCAGCTCTTTCCCTGCTCCAGGTCCCAGGGAGGGCTTTATCTCTCAGGACAGAGCCAGGAGCCCCTTGCTGTCCTGTACATGCTCAGCTCTCAGGCCCACCTGCTCTAGCTAGGCCCCTGGACCCAGACGGTGCTTGGCCCTGGCTGGCTGGGAGAGCAGCTCCCGTCTGGGCCAGGCCCCATCAGATACTGATATAGGCCCTCACCACACCCTGCCTGGCATCCCCAAATCCTCCTGTGGGTGGGGCCCTGGCTCACCTTCATTAACTAGGTACCGTGCATAGATGAGGAGCCAGTGGCGATATTCATGGCTGGACTGTAACGTCAGCGCGGCCGCCATCTGGCTCTCCAGGTAGGCCAAGGTGGTCTCCTGCTGGACCAAATGAGGCACGGAGAACAACCGAGTAGCTTGTCTTCCTGAACTGCAAAGATGAGACGAGGGGGCATGGGATGAGCTGGGACCCGGGGCCTGAGCCGCTGCCATCAGCCGCGTCTCAGACTTGCCCAGAAGGACAAGCGAGACCCTTCACCCAGGCTTTTGCCCGTCCTCTCCCTCAAAGCACAAAAAAGGTAAGGGGGGCACACACGATAGAGAGAAGGGCTGGAGCCTGGCAGGACACAGAGAATCCAAAGAGTCAGGGGGTAAAGAGGCCACCCCTGCCTGACCCCCATCTGTCCATCCAGGCCACCCCTTGGGACCTGCTCCCTTTCAATCCAATCAACATTTACTCCTGCATCACAAAAAACTGTGGATGTGGACAGACCAAACCCCTTGTAAGCCTGGGGAATGTCCTGCTCTCCTCCCTAGGTCATGGGCCTCCCTGGGTACCCTCTACCCATCCCCCAACACTGCTGGGAAAGCAGGCCCATCCAAACGGCCAGGGCTGGCCGGGGAAAGCTGCTGGCCAAAAGGCCCAGAGACAGCCTGGCAGGCCAGCGTGCACACAGGCGGCCCAGGGCGGGCTGACCACAGACAGCTCCGTGTCAGAATCAGATATGGCTCGATAAGCAGATGTCAGTCCTCATGGCCCTATGCAGACTGACTTTTGGCCTTGGTCAGCTGTCAGGCAACCTCAGTATTTATTAAACACCTCCTGCGTGCCAGGTACCGTGCTCAGCAAAGACATCTCCTGCCCTCCACGAGGAGACGATGTGCAAACAAATATACACCAAGTGAGCAACACAGAGGATAAACAGGAAATAATGAATGGAGGGAAGGGCTGGGGAAGGCGGCACTAGCTGGGACCTGAAGGCGCTGGGGAAGTCAGCCGGCAGAGCCGAGGCGGCTCGGGGGCCCCACGTAGGAAGGTCTCTGAAGGCCAACCGGCATTTTGTATTTGATCCTGGAGGCCACAGGGAGCCACTGGAGTTTACTGACCAGACACAGTCAGGCCTGGCTGACGGGGGGAGACTGGAGGCAGCAGCGACACCCCCCCAAGCCCCCCAGCAGCTATGGGCCCGCATGTGAGGGGGCAGGAGAGGAGGGGGCATATCTGGGAGAAGCTGCCCTCGCCCTTGCACCCCCTGACCCCTGGGCCTCAGCGTGTGACCTCTCCCTCTCGCCCGAGCTCCAGGCAGGCAGGGCTCATTTGCAGGGATCTTCTGTCTGTACTTCGAGCACTTGGAACAATTCCTGGCACACGGAGGCCATCTCATCAATGTCTTTTCTTTCCTCCCTTCCTAACACAGGTAAAGTGCTCTACAAACCTTAAACTGCTAGACCTAAATGCTGGCCACTCCTACGCTCATCATTCATTCACTCAGTCCCTGGGGAGAGGGCAGGGGGTGTGCGTACTTGGACGTGCGGCCCTGGACGATGGCGAGGGGTCCGGAGCACAGCATGGCCTCCTGGGACGGTAAGCTGCTCCTGTAGTCTGCACACTGGGCCAAGGAATCCTGCTTGTCAGAAACCAGATTCCTGGAGGAGGAAGAAAACAGGCACCGTCATGAGGGTGCTTCAGGAGTGCTG